TACCATCTTAGACCAAAGTCAAGCTTGATGCCCAAGTGGCAACACAAAATAAGATGAGGTAGATTAAAATTCATAAACTTCAGCATAAGCAAAAAGAAACAAGAAACTTCACCTTTTAACTTGTAGAAGTTAGCTGAATTCCTGGAAATTCTGACATCCAACGTCAAGTTATCCAGGCAGAGCCAAGATCCTTCCCTTCTGCTCTCAAGTTATCTGAGACCCTCAAGTAGGAAGGCCTCCTGGTGCACCCCCTGGACAGATCGTCTGAGGAGCTAGGACACACATTTCTGGGGAGGTTTTTACGTGGGTGACACAGGTGCTGCTTAGGACTGACTCTGGCAGTGCTTGGCCCAGAGGTGATCCCCTAAGCTTCCTTTTAACAAAGCCTCTTGCTTTGGGCTTTAAAGCCAACCCTATGTTGATTTCTCCAAAAGGGATGAAAAATTGAGGAGTATGAACAACTTGCTAAAATGCCCACGAAGAAGAAATATCCAGAAGGACCCATAACACAGCACACTACGGCACCTGCAATGCAGGTGATGCTGTGCACAGCAAAGTGACCACGGTCATGAATGTTTTGGCAGAGTCCAAACGAGCTGAAGGTTCTCGGTGTTCACTTATCTGTGTCCTCTTGGTCATGATAGCATTTCTATTACTTAGTTTTATTTTCTGCAATGCTCCCATGGCCAGTCAACTCAGTTTATCCAAGACCATAGTTCTTTCTCATAGATGAACCAGTTAATGGCACCCTACTACTCCAGGGTTTTTCCTGTGGGAACCCAGGCTTCATGAATGCTCCATCAGCGCTCTACACTAAATTGCCCACTCATGACGTGTCCTTATATACATGTTTGTTTCTGCCCCGATCAGAAATTAATTATATTTATTATACAAAACTGTAATGATCAACTCATCCCACACCACCACTGTCAAAGTTCTCTGAGGGGCAAGGGTGTTTGTTGAATGCAATCAATACTAATGTATGCTAATGTGGAATGTGAACCGGACAATGTCAAGCTTGTCAGTCACCCAGTTCACTCCTGCTTCTGTGTAAGCCTGGCAAAATACATTTGGCAACATGCTTATTAGAGGGCAGACCCAGTAAGAAACATCCAGGACTACACAGAAAGATAAGAAGGGAAAAGGAAAAGAGAAAAGAAATTCAGCATTACAAAGATGTTTAGAGCCAGGTGGTGGTGGTGGTGGTGCACGATGCCTTTAATCTCATCACTAAGGAGATGTAAATCTCTGTGAGAGGTCAGCCTGGTCTACAAAGTGACTTCCAGGACACCCAGGGCTAAACAAAGAAACCCTGTCTCAAAAACCAAAACCAAACAAACAAATAAAAAACATGATTTGAGGGGCTGGGGAGGAGATAACTCAGCAATCAAGAACACCAACTACTCTTGCAGAGAACACCTACAGAGTGGCTCACTCCTATCCCAGGGGATATGGAACTCTCCTGGGAAACCAGCACCTCTGCAGACAGAAATCCCATATACATAAAATAAGTAACTTAAAAAAAAATTTTTTGAGCTAGTCTTGGTGCCACACAACTGATACCCTGATACCAAACCAAATCAAACCAAACCAAAAAAACCCCTAAATTCAAAGCTGGTCTAAGTAACCTTTTCTTTATATTCCTTTTAAGATAGGGTCTATGCAGCTCTGGCTGGCCTGGAACTCACTATACAGACCAGGCTGGCTTCCAACTCAGAGATCCAACCCTAAATGCTGGGATTAAAGGTAAGTACCTATAAATTGGGAGTTGGAGGCAGAAGGATCAAGAATTCAAGGTCAGGCCCCGAGGTGGTGGCACATGCCTTTAATCCCAGGATTTAGGAGGCAGAGGCAGGAGGAACTTGGTTAGAGGCCAGCCTGGTCTACAAGAGCTAGTTCCAGAACAGGCTCCAAAGCTACAGAGAAACCCTGTCTCAACAAACAAAACAAAAAACAAATAAACAAACAAGCAAAAAAATTCACAAGTTGGGGCTAGCCTTGTATATGAGACTTGTCTTTAAAACACCACCACCGGGTTGTGGTGGCACACACCTTTAATCTCAGCACTTGGGAGGCAGAGGCAGGCAGATCTCTCTGAGTTCCAAGCCAGATAAGAGCTAGCTAGCTCCAGGACAGCTAGGACAACAACAGGCCAAGGTAACTTATAAATCCCGGGACGTAGGAGGCAGAGGTAAATGGATCGTGAGGTTAGGCCAACTGCTCTATAGAGTTCCAGGACAGCCAGGGCTACAGAGACCCTGTATTTAAAAAAAAAAAAAAAAAAAAAAAAAAAAAAAAACCACCAACCTGCCAAACAAACCAACCAAAACCAAACATAGTAACAACAAAATGGAGTGTATCAGGGCATGGGGCATATAAAGATACCAGTTCAGTGGTACAGCATCTGCTTGGCATGTCTAAGCTAGCCCCAGGTTCAATTCCTAGTATCACAAAACTAGTTCTGAAAGGATTTAACACAGGAAAATATACTTAGGTGTTTTGGAGTGTTTCACCTTTGGCTGCTCACTCTTTACAGGGAAGAAATCTATAGGAGATTCTTCTGCCCGAGGCTGACACATTCTCCAGCAGAAACAAGCAAGCTACTTGGCACCAACAAATGCTAGAGGCACAGGCAGGTGTCTGGCTTCTTCACATCGAGGGCTGAAGACAATACAGTTCTTTATTTCTAGATATAACCAGCAAAAGTACTAAGAGGAAAACAAGAATATTTTGGTAATATTTAGCAGAAAGATGAGGACAGAAAAGGCAGGGTAAAGTGTATCAACAGTCTTGGTTCTGTTAAACACCATCTGTTGTCTTAGCAATTATGCACCCTAGGTTTCTCAGGGCCTTCTCTTGACTTTTTTGAATTACAAGGGATTGAACTCTCAACTAGAGCCTTGGTTCTTTTTACTTTTTGAGACAGGGTCTCATCAAAGGTTCCCAGCAGGCCTTGAACATACAACACCCCTCTATCAGTCTGGGGTTGTGCTTAAGCCACCAGGCCTGGCTTAGGAGCAACCTTAGTACCAAATATCACCGTTGTTTGGCCCACAGGCTAAGACTTTGCTTTAAAAAAATTTGGCCACTCCAATTTACAAGTCTACTACCTACTGACTAACCAGACAGGCTGTCCTTTCCTTCAATCAAGAGATTTAGATCACCTCTGTCCGATTTTCATCCACCCCAGGCATCTTAGGTTGCCCGCATGACAAACCTTTCTAACCACCACTCCCTTTCTCAACCACAGTACAAAGTCACTGATGCAGCACTTGATTTGGCCTCTAACTCCCTCAGAGAACATGGACTGTAGGGAGAAACCGAGGTACGGGTCAGGTGCCCTTCCCCGACCACATCACCATTCACAGGGTCTTCCAGGCTGACTTACAGCAAAGCTTCACTGTCTTGTCTGCCACGTCACTGCAACAGCTGCCTTCTCAACTGCGCAGTGTAACTGTTGACATAATTTATACAGAATTCAATCAGCAGCTAGGCAGGAAAGCAATGTTAACAAAAGCTACGACTGGGTCTACGATTTGCTTATCACCTGGCTCATCTGTGGCCTGGAGTTCTCCATCCACCTCTCTCACGACTATGAACAATCCAGAAATGGCTGGATGCTCCAGCCTAGACAGCTACGTTTTAAGAGTCAGAAGCAACAACAGGAGCAGTCTCAGTAGCTGATGAAGTCAGCACTTATTCTTTTTTCCTCAGCTTGGAGCTAGGACAAGAGTACTGAGTTCCAAATCCTTCCTTACTTCCAGTCCTGATTCTCCAGCCTCCTCAACTACCACAAGAATGAAGAGGAGGTGAACATTTCTCAACGGACAGAAAAGCAAAGTAGAGCCAGAAAATTTTCTCAATAGAATAGCAAAGCAAGAGTAAACCAAAAAAAGGAAAGTTTGTTTTGAGAGAAGGTTGTGTCAAAAAGCTAGTATTAGGACCTGACACTTTCTGAGATGATAGTCTTCTATGAAAAGACCGTTTTAAAAATAAGATACAACTAAAGCCTGAGAGCAGAGAAGGCGAGGAACATTAATACTTTGTCATGAGACGGTAAAATTAGATTAGTACTACTGGGAGCATTTAAAAACTGATACTACGGCTAGTAGCTTCTCTCTATGAATTCCCAACTGAAAATAATGGCACGGAAGGGAATGTGAGTCCACTGAGAGGTGAATTTGCTGACACCGCTTTGGTAACAGGAAGCTTTGGGAGGCCATAGAAGTTGGCAGGGTTAGAGGGTGCCCAGCACCTTGGCACAAGCAAGCACCAGGCAATCACTCACACCTACATAAATATAGTCTGCATATGAGGGGTGAAAGGAAAGAATACATACAAACCATGCGATACCAAAGACAACTCTCTCTGGCCCCACCCATTGTCTTCCTGTACTACAGCTTACAGACTCCACAGTCATCTTGTTACTTGATGACAAACTGATGCCACGGAAAAGAAGAATCAGGAACAATAACAAGGCCGAAAACGTTTAAGGGCTAAAGAGAGTGCCTTGACAAATTTAAATGTAAAGTTTCAAGTTCTCAGAAAGACAGAGTTGTTACAATAGGGTAAGTGAGGATGGACAGGGGCAGTCCAGAAGACCACAACAAGAACCCTATTATTGTCCTGGCAGAGCTAAATGAAAGTGGAAAAGATACAAGTAGGCCACTGCTATTGGCTTTCTAAAAAAAGGACAATATCCTTTCCACCCTAGTATGTCAAAACAAAGGCCAGCTGGTCATCAATATATTCCAATAACAATCAAGAAACTGAAGTCATCACCATTGTAACCATCACCCAGCCTAAAAAGCAACTGGCCTCAAAAATTCGTGACTCTAAGGTGATTAAAAAGTAACCTGGGAACAGAAGGAAAAGATAAGGGTAAAGAAAAAACTGGGAATTACACACAGCATGTAAATGCTTGGTTTTCACAGTTACACTTATGGGTCCAACCGTCAGCTATATTACAAGAGAACCAATACCAACACCTCTCCATGAAGCACAGTGTGAGCACATACTTTTATGGATGTGTTTAGGATGGAAAGGGAAGGAGAAGGGAGAGGAGGCAGGAAGGTGAACGTGGTATATACAAAGAGAAATGGCAGAGACCACCCTCCTTTAGCTCTTCGAGCTTTCTTTCTCTTTGTTTTCCGCATCTTCTGGATACGCATGCCACGTCAGTCTCTCTTCATAAAACGCTATCACAATTTGTGGGCACTTCACATTAGCTTCTTTTGCAAGAACCAGGTCAGCTTCATCTGTGTCTTTCCTAGAAAGAAAGGACATAAGACTTAGAAGAAGTGAGACTGAAAATATCTGTCTGAATGTCACTATTTGAATTTAGCCGGCTTGATCTCCTCCTTACACTTTGATCTAAAAGTAAAAGGGATCTTTACATGGCTGGAGCTATAACAGTGGTGGAGCCTCTGTATTTGATCTTTAACATCAAAAAGTAAACAAGAAAGAAAAAGCTGAAGAGACAGCTGCTCTTACAGGACCCAGGTTCAGTGCCTAGCACTCACACAGTGGCTCACGACTGTCTCTCCCATTAGCTCTAGAGGATCCAATACCCTAGAGGCTAGAGTTGGCTCAGCATTTAAGAATACATACTACTGTTCACTCGGGAGGCAGAGGCAGATGGATCTCTGAGTTTGAAGCCAGCTAGGTTTACTGTGAAGGACCCAGGCTCAGTTCCCAGTTCCCATCAACTACATGGCAGCTCACAATGGACTGTAATGTCAGTCCCAGGGGTTCCGGAGCCCTTTTCTGGCTTCTGTAGGCACTGTACACAGATGGTACACATACATACATATATAAACAAAACACACATACACATAAAATAAAATCAAACAAAATTTTAAAAAGAAAAGGGGAAGGATGGGAAAGGGAAAAGAACAGTGGAGAGGAAAAGAGCCAATCAGGCATGGTGAGCATGTGCCTGTAATCCTCTAACTCCAACCCTGGGGAGATAGGGACACGAGAACAAGTTCAAAGTCCTAGACTATACACTGAGGTCAAGGTCAGCCTGACCTAACATTAGACCCTGTCAGAAAAGGAGGGGGAAAGGAAGAGGAAGTACTCCACTTTCTTCTAGAAGTTACTATCACTGATAAAGTAATTTGTGCTTTCTTCAGCCATTAATCTTAACGTCCTTTGTTGAAATTAATTTCTCTTTTAGCCATCTCTGTGATCCTAGCCCTCAGGATGGGAATAAGCTTTACCCAGCCCCTTATCCCATGGACATGATTCAGTTCTATGCAAACAGATGTTTAGGAAATGGCTACAAATATTTTACCCCAAATTTATTTTTCTATTATGCATGTTACTATGACACAAAACATAACAAAGCCTGACAATGTCACAAACCCATTCTGAACCACAATCCCCACTTAATATTGACAGTGCCAGTGGTGTTAAGAATTAGACTTAGGAATTCTCAGTTTTACATCCTTTCTTCATAGCAAAGGAACACAACTGTAGAGTGAGGCCCGTCTTCTCTCACCATTTCATTAAGAACATTAAGTCACCACAGGAGTCTGTTGCCCCAATGATCTTTTCTGGTTCCAGTCCTCTCTCAAAGCCCCGAGCGATATCATTGTTCTGCTATAAATAGAACAGGAGAGATTAGAGCTTGTAGAAAGAATAAAAACAAAAAAGGGTTTCTCAGAACAAGTCATAGCCTTTTGTTAGCATCACCTGATACCATCAATTCAGAAAAATTCTTAGAACTCAAGAAACATAATACTAGATCAACCAGTAGCAACAATGTCAAAAGATATTCCTGCAAGAAAATGCAGTGTCTTTCCTGGGATTCCTTGCAATGACCAAAGAGGGCCTGGAAGTCTAGAAAGTCCTAGAGTCTCTGGAGAACCATCTGGTCAGTCCTGTCATCCTAACCCTTACGATCTCTTCAGTACCGCAGGCTGACCTCTCTTCTTGTTCCTGAGACACCCAAGCCCATTCTCACTCTCTTAACTTCAGATATGCTTTCTCAACCATAACCTTTTAGACCTTTAATTTATCTTAATAGTGACAAATGGTTTTCATATTCCAGCCCTCTATATTATAAAAAAACAGAGACAAGAAGAATGCAAGACCAATACTCTGAAAAAGGAAAATTTTAAAGATCATAAACACTAGTTTGCATATACTTGGCAGGAGAGTCCCTGGTACCACAGACACACTGTTAGCATTAACTGGGATTGGACTTAGACTTGAGATACTGTAAACTCATTCATCAGCAACACACACACACACACACACACACACACACACACACACACACAAACTTAAGATATTTCAAATGAACCAAATCTTGGGTGTGTGATTTCCTAGCATCTCTCTGATCGTCTTACTTTCCTTTGAGATCAAAAGCAGTCATCAAAAGATGGCTCAGTGGGCAAAGGGGCTTGCACGCAAGTCTGACAACCTGAGTTTGATCTCTGGGAGTCACATGGTGGATGGAAAGTACCAACTCCCACATGTTCCTGGACCTCCTGGTACATGAGGCTCCCTAACCCATTGAACAAGTAAATGAAAATTTTAAAACAGAAACACAGAAAGTTTGTACAGTCCTGGTGGTCCCCAAAGATACCAGAAGCCACAACAGAAAAGAAATTCTAGTCATGGACCAATGGGTACTGTATCGTGGATGCTGACTTTTTAAGACACAGACTCTTTGGGGCACTCAAGGGGGACAGGTTCCCAGATGCAAACACAGCTGCTCACAGCTGGAATGCTGGCACAAGGACGAAGTCATCCATTACTGGCGGCTGGAAACAGCCTGTTACAGAGGGAGGGAAATGGAGAAAGAATGTCCAAGCTGCTTGAAAGGAGCCAAGGCAAGGCAAACACAGAAATCATCACAGGCAGTAATCTTAAATCAGGCATAAAACTGACTAGGAAATCTCTTCTGCAGTGGTCTAAAGAAATGTAATCTCCTCCATACCTTAAAAACACTTGGCTACTACCTATCATGCCAGCTGTCTACCTGACAGGGGCCCCAGACAACTGACTAAAGGATGTGTGGAGGTGTTTTCAAGGTCAGCAGCTCCAGAACTAGACAGACGGGAAGTCCTCTCAAGTGGCCGGGACTCTAAGCCAGATTACTGCCTTTAATAGAACAAAGACCCTGAATTGAAGAGCTGTTTACTGACTCTCACAAATACACAGTTAAAAGTCTTTGGTTGTGTTAATCTGCTATATCAACCTAACTAGAAAAGAACCAAATGACAAAAGCCAGAATACAAGGGCTAACAAATGAATTAATGAATGGCTTAGTCAATAAAGGTGCCTGCTCCAAGCCTGCAGACCAGACTAATCTGGTGAAAAGAAGATAACCGACTTTCCCAAGTTTTTCTCTACCCACCACACATGCGCAGTGGTATACACGCTCACGCACACATGCAAAAAATAATTTTGGGTTTTTTTTTTTTTCGAGACAGGGTTTCTCTGTAGTTTTGGAGCCTGTTCTGGAACTAGCTCTTGTAGACCAGACTGGTCTCGAACTCACAGAGATCCGCTTGCCTCTGCCTCCTGAGTGCTAGGATTAAAGGCGTGTGCCACTACCGCCCAGCGCAAAAAAATAAAATGTATTAAAATATGTAAATAAAATTTAAAAAGGGCACAGGGAGATTTGAGAGGCAAAGGTAGACAGAGACTGAGGCCAGCATGGTCTGCACAGTGAGTTTTAGGCCAGGACTACATAGTGAGCCCCTACCTCAAAAAACAAAATAAATAAAATTTTTTTTGTTTTGTTTTATTTTTGATTTTTTGAGACAGGGTTTCTCCGTAGCTTTTGGTTCCTGTCCTGGAACTAGCTCTTGTAGACCAGGCTGGCCTCGAACACACAGAGATCCGCCTGCCTCTGCCTCCCGAGTGCTGGGATTAAAGGCATGCGCCACCACTGCCCGGCTAATAAATAAAATTTAAAGAACCGAAAACATCAAGTCCTATTCTCTTAGAAAATGGAAAATGTTAAAATTCTTTATCAATGGGCTAGAGAGATGGCTCAGAGGTTAAGAGCATTGCCTGCTCTTCCAAAGGTCCTGAGTTCAATTCCCAGCAATCACATGGTGGCTCACAACCATCTGTAATGGGGTCTGGTGCCCTCCCCTGGCCTGCAGGCATACACACAGACAGAATATTGTATAGATAATAAATAAATAAATGTTTAAAAAAAATCTTTATCAATATAGTTTATCATAACAATATTCAGACCTTTCCAGAATCTGGCATAAGGCTCCAGCCAGGCATGTTACCCCACCCCTTTAACCCCCGTGCTTAGAAGGATCTGAGTTACACGTCAGCCTGGTCTACAGAGAGACCCTGTCTCAAATAAACAAGGAAATGGTTATGAAAATAAAATTAACCAGAGAAAGGAGCCAGACAGAAAAAGCCCTTAGTCTGAGGCCAAGAATTATATACAAACCTTTACAGAACCAACGCCTCAGTCTTCCCACAGAACTCTTAGTTTAACTGGTATAAGGTTCATCTTGGATACTGGAGATCTTTTAAATACCCACTGGGTGTCTCTAAGGTGTAGTCAGAGCTAAGAGTAACAGTACCGACAAATGAGCGTCCAAGTATAATGCAGATAAACAGGAACTTGATGTAGGGATGCTACACAGACTTATACTTCTATTGTAGTAAATTTTAAGAGTATGATATATTCTTCCTAACCTTGAAATAAAATGTAAAGAGGCAAAGCTGGATGGGTAGAGTGGTATAACAAATTTGATAAACCCACACAGCAAAGATACAGCAGAAAGAAAAAGAGGCAATATGGTGTTTATGTTACTATAGAAAAATAAAAAGCAACTGAGTGAAGCCAAACTGCAGAACTAATTTTCAACTAAACTGGAAACAGACACAAAAAAAGATTTATTTTTTTTTTTTTTATTTTTGAGACAGGGTTTTTGTTGTGGAACTCACTCTATAGACCAGGCTGACATCAAACTCATTGAGATCTGCCTGCCTTGGCCTCCTGAGTTGGGGATTAAAGGCATGGGCCATCACTGCCCAGTTCTGTTTGTTTTTTAATAAAGTAAAAATTTATTATTATTGGTGTGTAGGCAGTGCACATGGAGGTCAAAAACAAACTTTTTAGGAGTCAATTTTCTCCTTCTAAACATGAGGATTTGAACGCAGGCTGTCAGGTTTGGAATAGGCACCTTTACTCCTAAGCCATCTCCTTAGCTACTTTTCCTTCTTTAAGAAGAAGAAAAAAATATTAAGAGTCTTCCTTTTGGTGCTAGAGAGTTGCTAAGAGAGTTTGTTGTTCTTCTAGACTCAGAACTTTGGTTCCCAACACTCACTTCAGGGAGCTCGCAACTGCTCTAACTAGCTGTAACTCTAGCTGCAATACCTTCCTCTGAGCTCCTCAGCACCCACAGATACACACACACACACAAACATTGCTATTCACCAAGGAGGCAGTTTTACATTAGTTTTGACACTTTAGTCAGAATCAGTACTACACCAGCTCTCCCTTGCCAGAAGGGGTCACTGTAGTAAACCAGTATACTTCCCTGGAAGTTTTTGTTCAACATACATTGCAGGTCTGTCCTTAGAAGGAAGAAAACAAACCTAACCCCCCCCCCCCCCCCGTTTGCATAGCAGGAGCAAAAGGATAGTAGTGAGAGGTGGGAAAAACTTACCTCTCTCTTTTTTTTAGATTTTATATCATCAGCATTGTTAGAGAAACTGGATTTCCTCTTGTTTCCTTCTGACTTCTCTCTGGGCTTGTTGTTTTCACCCTCCTTCATCTTCTTATACTTTTTCATAAACTCAGAAATTAGTTCAGGACAATCCAAGTTCTTTTCAGGTTCCCAAGTATTGTGCTCCCTGAACAATAACAATAACGACCAAAGAAAACGACTGAGAGATGATAATAATGCCCTATTCTTTCTATCTATCTATCTATCTATCTATCTATCTATCTGTCTATGTTTTTTAAGACAGACTCTTTCTCTGTGTAAGTGTCCTGGAACTCACCTTGTAAACCAGGCTGGCCTTGAACTCACTGAGATTTGTAGTCCTCTGCCTCCCAAGTGCTGGGATTAAAGGTGTGCACCACCACCACCACCCAGCCCTCCCCCCCCCCTTGTCTGTCTGTCTCTGATTTGGATAATGCCCTATTTTTACACACTTACCATCTCTGCAAAACTTAAGACTGATAAGCTTATTTTAAAGAGAACATGTAATAAATATTTAACAAGAGGCTTGGGGTATATGCATATAGTTCAGTTGTAAGGTACTTGCCTAGCACATGTAATACCAACCCCCAGCTCTGCAGAGAAAAAAAAATCCAACAAATTTGATCTTATTTCACTGAAGAAACTTGGGGAAAAATATGTTCACACAAAGTTGTGTGAAGAATCATGGCTGCTTTTAATCCCAGCACTCAGGAGGCAGAGGCAGGCGGATCTCTGTGAGTTCAAGACCAGCCTGGTCTACAGAGCTAGTTCCAGGACAGGCTCCAAAACCACAGAGAAACCCTGTCTCGAAAAACCACAAAAAAAAAAAAAAAAAAAAGAATCATGGCTGCTGGGATTGGTGGCACCCACCTTTAATCCCAGCACCTGGGAGGCTGAGGCAGGCGGATACCAGAGTTCGAGGCCAGCCTAGTCTATAAAGTGAGTTTCAGGACAACCAAGGCTACACAGAGAAACCCTTTTTTTGTGGTCCAGGGGAATAATTATTAAATTATTACAGAAGAAGTGTTATTTTTAGGGCTGGGGAATCAAACCTAAACCTGGATTTTATGTTAATCCGTAACCCTGTAGCAACATTTTAATAGTCCAAACAAAAAACCCAAATGCTCATCAACTGATAATAAACAAGATGTAGTGCAACTATAAGAGAACAGAATCCAGCAACAGAAAGAAACAACTGCTCTACAATGGGAGCGTTGTAACAGTCTCACAGATGTTGACCAAAAGAACAAAAACGGGCTGGAGAGATGGCTCAGAGGTTAAGAGCATTGCCTGCTCTTCCAAAGGTCCTGAGTTCAATTCCCAGCAACCACATGGTGGCTCACAGCCATCTGTAATGAGATCTGGCGCCCTCTTCTGGCCTGCAGGCATACATGGAGGCTGAACACTGTGTACATAATAAATAAATCTTAAAAAACAAACAAACAAACAAAAACAACTGAGCCAGGTACAGGGTAGACACATTTACTCCCAGCACTCAGGAGTTTGAGGCCAGGGTTAACAGAGAAACCCTGTCTTACTTATCTCAAAAATAAAACAGAAAACATCAAATTGTACAATTTCAGTGGGTGACTTTTCTTTTTGGGGGGCTGTCATGGAACTCACTCTGTTGAACAGGCTGGCATCAAACTCAGAGAACTGCCTGCTTCTGCCTCCTTAGTGCTGGGACTAAAGGTGTGCACCACTACTACCAGGTGTGAGTGGTACTCTTATGATACATAAATTACACCATAATAAACCTTTTTAAAACTCCCAGTTTTGGGGCTGGAGAGATGGCTGAGTGATTAAGAGTGCTTGTTACTCTTGCAGAGGACCTGAACATCTGTGACTCCAGTTATAGGGAATCTAGTGCCTTCTGAGGCACCTGCACAGCATTCACACCCCTCACAGACAGGCAAGCAGGCAGGCAGGTACACACACAATTGAAAACTAAAACAACAACAACAAAAAAAAACAATAAGCAAACCCAGTCTATAAAGTGGGCAAATAGCTCAGTGGTAAGCATGTTTGTTCCAGTCATAAGTCAGGCTCATGGGTTCAATCCATTGAACAGCTTCCCAACAAAAAAAAAAAAACAAATTTAACTGCTTAATTAAGTGCGTAAAGAGTGTGGTTTTATACACACATCAGTAGCCTGCAGAAAGAGGTTAACTTAATAAAGTTACTGTCAGGGACCAAAGACCCCAACATACAAACTATCTTTCCCTATCTGGACCGGTACCAAGGTGCGAGAAATAACCAGACACAGGTCACACCATCATCACTGAAGGGCATCTCAGGTTTCTCCCCATCCTCAAGATCTACCCGCACAAAACATCTCTTATCCCCCCCCACCCCCACCCAAGGTGGATACCTCATTAATATTTTCTTTAGGGAGGGGGCGCAGGGCTAGGGAAACACCTGCGACTGAGTCCTCAGCTTCAGCAAACACCTCTCCCCAGGAGATCTACATTTCTAACAAAGGAGATAGGAGCAGCACATCCTGGCTTTTGTTAGGGCAGTGACAGCCAGTCTGCGCTACGTGACCACCTCAGGCAGGGCCTATGGCTTCAGAGCCTGGCTGCCACACCATATAGAAATAATGGGCCTACAAGTTACATACCTCCAATTTCTATTGCGGTAGATGTTATTTGTAACCAAACTCTAGCAAGTAAGAGGTGGAATGCATTAATTCAAATGAGATACTTAAGTTGTGTGTGCGCGCGTGAGGGTGCACACATACATACACACAATCTCAAATAGTACAATCAGACAAAACAGGAAGCCCTATAGTGTAGAAAACAGTTTTTGGGGGAAGAGGGCCTCATGTAGCCCAGGCTGGTCTCAAACTATGTAGTCAAGGATAACTTTGAACTTCTCTCCCTTCTGAACACTGGGTTCACAGGCACGTGGCTCCACACCTCCTCTATGTGGAACCGGGCCCAGCTCAGGGTTCTAGCTATCTCAAGCAAACATTCTACTGAGACATATTCCCAGCCTTCTCTATGGGTTTCTATTTATTTTTTGTTATTTCATCTAACCCAGGGTCTCTGGCTGCCTTGGAACTTGCTAGGTAGACCAGGATGGCCTCTAATAGATTCGACTGTCTCTGCTGAGATTAGGAGTACACTGCCACATGCACCTATTCCCTGAATTTTTAAAGTCTTAAAATGTAGCCCAAGATGGTCTTGAACTCTCGGCAGTTCTCTCTCTCTCTCGTTCTCTCTCTCTCTCTCTCTCTCTCTCTCTCTCTCTCTCTCTCTCTCTCTGGTTTTTCGAGACAGGGTTTCTCTGTAGCTATGGAGCCTGTCCTGAAACTAGCTCTTGTAGACCAGGCTGGCCTCGAACTCACAGAGATCCGCCTGCCTCTGCCTCCCAAGTGCTGGGATTAAAGGTGTGCGCCACCACCGCCCAGCTTGGCAGTTCTCTTGACTCAGCCTTCCAAATAGATTATAGGAAAGAACCAACATGTGTGTTTCAATTTTGATATTCTCAAGGTTGTCCTCTGTATTTTCTATTTATAGCATGGGTTCTAGAAAGTTAAAACTACAACCATCTTGTGAAATTACAGCAAGAAAACTATTACCCCTTTCCCTACCCAGAGGCATAATTCTTTGGTTAGACAGGAAATACAAGTTTGTTTTTATCTGAGACACACCTGTAACCTGTAATGAATCACAGAAGCAAACAATAAGTCTGTAAGCCACACAAGCAGCATCTGTAACCTGCACTTAGCTTGACAAAAGTTGCTAAAAAGAAACCTTGGGTTCAAAGGCTGAATGGTGCTAGCTAGTGACGTTTCTGTGGGAAACAGATTCTACTGCGGCAGTGCAGAAGTGGCTGGGCAGTGGTGATGCACGTCTTTAATCCCAGCACCAGGGAGGCAGAGACAGGTGGATCTCTGTGAATTCGAGGTCAGCCTGGTCTGAGCTAGTTCCAGGACAGGCTCCAAAGCCACAGAGAACCCTGTCTGGAGAAGAGACTCAGTGATTTAGAGCACTTGTTCTTGTAGAGGACCTGGATGTGATTCCCAGTGCCTACATGGTAGCTTACAATCATTATTTTTATTATTTTATGTGCATTGAATTTTGCCTACATGTATGTCTGAGTTAGGGTCTCAGGTCTTGGAGTTACAGAGAGCTGTGAGCTGCCATGTGGGTGCCGGGATTTGAAGCTGGAAGAGCAGTCAGTGCTCTTTAACCACGGAGCCATCTTCCCAGCCCCCTGTTCCTTCCTCTGACGAGGCATGTACAATATACAAGCTATACATTCAGGCAAAGAATTCATAAACATAAGTCTTTTTTTGTTTTGAGAGACAGTGTTTCTCTGTGGAGTTTTGGAGCCTGTCCTGGAACAAGACCAGGCTGGCCTTGAACTCACAGAGATCTACCTGTCTTCTCTCTGCCTCCTGAGTGCTGGGATTAAAGGCGTGCACTACCACCCGGTTTCTATGGCAAACTACTGTGGCTACTGGGATTAAATGTGTGCGTCACCAATGCCTGATCTGTAAGGCTGATCTTTTTACTCTCTGAACTTTAGGTCAAACCCCAATATCTGTCTCTGAGTTTTTATTAATCATGCTACAATTGGCACCCAACATTTGGGGTATGAATTCACAAAAAAGCCGCTTGCCTGAGGCTTTTTAGCTACTGGCACAGGCCAGAGCTAGACCCAAACCTAGCCACCTGGATTCGGGGGGGAAAAACTAGTGCTCCCAACTTCTACCTGCCCCAACTTAGCTTCCTCTCCTGCCAAGGGTCCTGGCCTCCTACCTTGTTTGAACAGGTTCCCTTATTCACTGCTATGTATGCCAAGCTAGTTGTCCCTCCAGCCTTCAGGGATTCTCTTCTCTGTCTCATCTCTCAGGGAGAGATGAATGTGCCTGACTTTGTATGGGTTCTCGTTATCTAAATTCAAATGTTCACACTTGCCATGACAAGCTGTCTACTCACACTTAGTGAGACTTCTAAGTACTATATCCTTAACCCTGGTTTTATCTTTTTTCTTTTCCTGGCATGTGTGAGGACCAAATTCAGGATCAAACCCGAGTGTGCCAGGTGAAAGCACTCTACTCCTAAGCTACACCCACCTCTTATCCCTACTTTATTTTATTTGGTTTTTCAAGACAGGGTTTCTCTGTAGTAGCTCTGAAGCCTGTCCTGAAGCTTACTCTGTAGACCCGACTGGCCCCAAACGTCTCTGCCTCCCAAGTGCTGGGATTAAAAGCATGTACCACCACTGCCCGGCTTATTCCTATTTTATTAAAGGATAAAAAAATGATTATGAAATTAGTCAATGGACTGCAGAAATGGCTCAGTGTTTGAGAGCACTGCCTGCTTTCCCAGAGAACCATGGTCTGGTTCCCAGCACTCACCTGCATCTGTAACTCCTGTTCTAACTGCTGCGATGCCCTCTCTGGACCGTGGGGACCAGACAACACAAATGCAGGCAAGCCACTCACACACACAAAATAATAAAAGTTTTTATTTTTTGGTTTTTCAAGACAGGGCTTCTCTTTGAGTCCTGGCTGTCCTGGAACTTGCTTTATAGACCAGGCTGGCCTTTAAGTCACAGACAGACTCCTGCCTCTGCCCTCTCCCCCTTTACCCTGCCTCCATGCTGGGAATAAAGGTGTGTACCAACACTACCTGGCAAGAAAAGAATTTCTTAAATAACAATAATAAAAGAAATCAGGTGAGCTCATCCACCTGTATCTTAAAAGGGTGGAGTAAGAATCTGATCCAGAAAATCTGGCTCCCAAGTCTGTGCTCCCAAGCATTCCTTACATTATCCCTCAAAATAAAATCATTAAACATCAGCTCCATGGTGGGGAGACTATGTGGTCTGCTGCTTCTCTTGAGTCTTATTTTGGGTGTAAATAGGAAAAAGGTAGACACTGGCTCGTGGGCAAGTAAACTAAAGGTTTCTACCTCTACATTGTTCTAACGCCTGGAAAAGAAAGCACTTACTCAGAAAAGCCTTTCCACTTCAACAGGTACTCCACTTGCCCCTTAACCATGCGCCTGTCTAACACCTTCTCCACGACGTATTCCTCCTCATCCTCTGAGGAAGAACTGTCAGCTGTCCTCTTGGTTTTCTTTCCCATGTCGCACGCTGATTCACCTGCAGGACTAAGGCCACCAGGTTCCTGAGAAGGGAAAGACAAAATGGTCACAATCCGCGAGGGTTAAAACTGTCACTTCTTGATGGAATAGAGGGCACACGTCAACCCATACCCTTCTTTTTGTGTATACAATTATTCTAAGACAGGGCTACAAATTTATTTTGTAAATGGGTCAATCTGCACATTTCCCTAACAACAACTTCTCTTCAGATGAAAAGATCAAAAATTATCAGATGGCACAATTGTTTAACTCCCTTAATTTCATATTCTAAGAAGGCAAATAGCATGGTATGTTACTCTTCAGTGTTTCTGCATCTACTTGTGAGCCAGGAACTCAAAGAGAAATGTGGGAAACCTTCAGTTAAAGGAACCAAGAAAAATAAAAATCTTTTCCTCCAAGGTGACTAAAGGTCTTTATAAAAAAAAAATGAAGAAAAAGAAGAAAGAAACCTTCCCCCTCAAAACACTGAAAAGTAACTTCTCTGTTCTCTGAGCAGTCTCTTAGCAGCACGCGCAGCACACACACACACAGCACACACACACAGCACACACACACAGCACACACACAGAGCACACACGCAGCACACACACACAGAGCACACACACAGAGCACACACACGCAGGGCACACACACGCAGGGCACACACACACGCAGGGCACACACACGCAGAGCACACACACAGAGCACACACACAGAGCACACACACGCAGCACACACACAGAGCACACACACAGAGCACACACACGCAGCACACACACAGAGCACACACACACAGAGCACACACACACAGAGCACACACACAGAGAGCACACACACAGAGCACACACACACAGCACACACAGAGCACACACACGCAGCACACACACACAGAGCACACACACACGCAGCACACACACAGAGCACACACACAGAGCACACATACACACAGCACACACACGCAGGGCACACACACACAGAACACACACAGAGCACACATACACACAGCACACACATGCAGGGCACACACACAGAGCACACACACACACGCAGCACACACACACAGAGCACACACACGCAGGGCACACACACACAGAGCAAACACACACGCAGGGCACACACACACAGAGCACACACACACAGCACACACATACCTAGGCCATCTCTAGGCCACATTTCTAGTGACTTGGTACATTTTCCTTAAAATGCTTGAACCCGTCCTTTCAGCGTGTCCATCAGCTCACAAAAGCAAGGCTAACAGCTCAGACACACTAAGCCTCCTTTTTAGCAAGCTCATTTGGGAATAGAAAGGAAGAGCCAGGCGATGGTGGCGCACGCCTTTAATCCCAGCACTCGGGAGGCAGAGGCAGGCGGATCTCTGTGAGTTTGAGGCCAGCCTGGTCTACAAGAACTAGTTCCAGGACAGGAACCAAAAGCTACGGAGAAACCCTGTCTCGAAAATCAAACCAACCAACAACAACAACAAGAAAAGGGGGGGGGGGGCGGGAAAAAAGGAAGAAGGGCAGAGAAAAAGTTCAAAATTAGTTACTGGACTAGCCTGTAATTCCCAGGGCTCAACTAATCCAAATAGTTAGGAGGTACCTTGCCTCTTAACTGAGGCTGACTTCGGGCCAAAGGAAGAGGAGGGGAAGTCTGGCCCCAGCCTCTGCATCAACACGCAGCTCCTCAGAACACAGCGGACTATTCATTGCCCAGGAAAGCCAGGGCAATGCAGCACAAATGGAAACTGAGTTAAGCTCAGAAATATGCATGTCAGGGGTGCTCAACAGAGAATCTAGTTTTTAAAATTCCCACACTGTTGAACCATAGTCCTATAGTCTGGATTAGCAAATAGCAGGAATTAGTATTTTAGTTGACTCCATTGTTATTTTGCTATAAATCTCTAAACCTGTTTTTCAGAGCATTCCCATCCTGGCCAGAAAGTCAACCTCAGGAATAGAAAGGGCAACTAATTTCACAATTTTCAAGTCAAAGAAGCAGAAGTTGTATTTATCAATTTATTCTGAATTAGTAATTTAAGAAACCATTACAGCAATATAGTGTTAACAATCCTACTACCTACAGAACTTATTAGCACTAGGTAAGCCAGTCTCAGAAATTGCTTGTATTAATTTTTGACCTATAATAACTTTATTTGAGAAGGCACGGGGGAATGTAGGTATAAGATTTTCAAATAATCTTTTCATTAATTTAGAAGACTCCCAGGCATCAAAAAAATTTTATATATATATATATATATATATATGGTTTATTTAAAATGAACAGCCACCGACCTCACCAGACAGGAAATGTCATATTCCAGTGAGAGTACCCCACCCCCACCCCCACTCACCTTGGAATTTCCGTGAGCTGAGCAGTTTAGGTCAGAGCGCTGGGTTAAAACCAGCCCCATGTTGGAAGCATGCAGCTAAGCATTGTGGCTATGGCCTTCCCTGCCTCACCAGGAAAAAAAAAAACAAGGATTTACATATGTGTTCTACAGTTTGAGGGAGGAAGAGAATTTTTTTTCTTTATACCTTCATGCTGAAGAAAAGCCCTAAGTAGATCAATAGGGGTTCCGTCCCTTACCTACCGGATCGCCCCAGTTCGTTCTTTCCCTCTGGGCTAACAGGAGGGGCCTCCCCTCCCAGGTCTGGGGCTTGGCGGGCTGGCAGCTCCCCCGCCCCCACGCAGCTGCCTGGGCGCCACTGCGCAGCTGTCCCAGTCCGTTACCATGGCAACTGGCAGCCTTACTAGACTAAGAGGGAGAGGCAAATGAAAAAGTTAAAAGGCTTAACTTTCCTTTTCACTGCAGACTGGGTGGAGAAGTTGGAAGGTACCTCCCTTGGCCCCAAGGCCAAGGCTTTCAGAGCTCAGGGGAGTTAGTTCTTTGATTTAAAGTCCAAAATTTAGGCTTATTCCTCTAAAAGCTGTGAATTAATCAATAGCATTTTAGGACCACCTAACAGGATCACAGTTCACTGACGGGGGGAGGGGTAAGAGAAGGCTCTTACAACCACCCTCCTCTAGAAGCACTTTGGACAAAGCTTTTTCCACCGTCTGTCACTGTACAGTTAATTAAAATTGCTTGAGGGAAAGAAGCAACAGGAAAAGGGAGAGGGGGAAGTATTTTAATGATACTATGTCACTTTTCTTGTTCGAGAGAATTACAACAGAACTAGAACCCAAAGACTTAAAACAATAGCTGGGTATGCATCCAGGGCCTTATATAGACTACTGAGCTACATCCCAACTCACAAAAGAACCCTTCAATTGAATTTACAGGTGAGAAAAATTAGTCCTTTAGTTTAAAAAAAAAGAAAAAAATAGGGTGAGCAAGTTGGCCACAGCCATTATGGTTAAATTGAAGTATTTTGTTAGTTATGCCTGTTGGTTTTTCTTGTAATGCTATAAAATAAACTTTTAGCAATTTATATTAGTAATCCTAAAACCTAAGGAAAGGAGGACATAATAATAACAGGAAGAAGATTAAGCACGACGAACCACATAGCTGGTTCATGGCCAGCCTGTGTCACATGACACCAGATTACAATACACGGTGTTCTTTCACCTGACTGCAACAAACATCTTAGAGATCCAAAACTGTATTTGCTCCACATTCAGAAATTTAAAACTTTGTGGTGCCAGACCCTCCTCATGCATGCTAATGCTGCTTCCACCGGAGAACACAAAAAAGAAGGTGGGCTTTACTTTGTCAGGGGCCAGAGAGATGGATAAATCAATGATTTTAAACACTTACTGCTCTTGTGGAGAGGACCAGGGTTCAGCTCCCAGCACCTCACAACCACCTGTAACTCCAGTCCCATGGGATCTGACACCCTCGTCTAGCATCTGAGGGCAACAGGCATGTATGTGGTATGCAGACATATATGCAAGCAAACACTCATACACATAAAATTAAAAAAACAAAAAAAAAACAAGAACAAGTCACCATACCATAGAGATACACTACAACCATGTTTATGGCAATGCTATCCATAACAGCTAAAATACAGAACCTAGGCATCCAGCAACAGAGGGGTGGGTAAATAAAATGCATATATACACAATGAAATCTTTTTCAGACACGAAGAATAAAGTTATATCATTTTCAGGAAAACGGATGTAACTGGAGATAATCATATAAAAACAAGCCAGTCTCAGAAAGATAAATATAGTATGTTCTCTCAATGGTGGCTCCTAGTTCTAATAGAAACATATAAAATCATGTATGTAGAACTAAATCTGTATAAGGGGAGAAAAGGCACTAAAAAAAGAGGGGAGAGAAATGGGAGGACAATATATCACACATACCTGTATAAGAACCTAAGAAATGAAGGCCTGCCTTACCAGGTGGTACACACCTTCACTCACAGTACCCAAGATCTCTCAGTTTAAGGCCAATGGGTGGGGGGAGCTTCGAAAGTAGAAAATGGTGGTAATTTTGGCCATCAAATAGAAGTATCAGGGGCTGGGCAACAGTGGCACATACCTTTACATATATATTTATTTATTCTGTCTCTGTGTGTGTGTGTGTGTATTCGTGTCCCGCCCAAAAGAGGGCATCTGTTTCCCTGGCTGTCTTGGAACTCACTATTTAAACCAAACTGGCCTTGAACTCACACACCTCTGTCTGTCTGCCTCTGCCTCCTAGGTGCTGGGATTAGAGGTGTGTACCGCTATGTAGAGCACCATCACAGCCTTTTAACCTATATATCTATATCCAGATGGATGCCTGCCATACCATGGTGTGCTTATGGGGCTGATTTTCTCCTCCTACTATGTGAGTTCCAGACATTGAATGAAGCTTATCAGGCTGAGCAGCAGACTCCTTTACCCAGAGCTATTTCCCCAAACAGTGTGCAGTGTGCAGTGTTCTGCGGGACTGCCATCATTCAAAAGGTGGAAGAGAAAACCACCACTAGCTCACACATGTGAGGCCCATCAGGGCTACAATGATTGCCATAAAAACTAAAGAGGTCTTGAGACAATGGTTCAGCGGTTAACGGCTTGCTGCTGCTCTTCAGAGGCTAAGTTCTCAGCACCCATAACTACCTGTAATTCCAGCTCCAGGGGATCTGATGTCCTCTTCTAGCTTCCATGAGCACCCCAAGCACACACACAAAAGCAAAAAACTTTCTTTAACCAACTCTTTTTTCTTTTCTTTTCGAGAACAGGGTCTGTGTAGCTCTGGCTGTCCTCAAATTCACAGAGCTCCACTTCCCTCTGCTACCTGCCACCCCAGTGCTGGGACTGTCATGCCTGTCCTCACCTCTTGTATTTAAGAAATGTGAATATATCACTAGAGAAATTAAAATAGGGTCAAGGTAGTAACTTGCTAGGCACAACTGATCTTGAACAACTAAGCTTTCTACCCAATCTCAGTACCACTGAAACAGGACAAACAGCTGGGAGCAGCAGCAAAGGCCTGCGATCCCAGCACTTGGAGAGCAGAGTCAGGGCCAGGTGGGTTCATTGTTAAAAGCCAGCCTTGTTTTACAGAGTGAATTCCAGGCCAGTCAGAGATACATAGCAAGATCTTGTCTCGGAAGAAAAAAGAAATCAGAAAAGAAAAGAAAATCCAGGATTGGAGATAGCTCAGCAGTGAAGAGCACCCACAGAGTGGCTTTACAATATCTCTAACTCCAGACCCAGGGTCTGACATCCTCCTTTGACCTCTGCCAGCACAAGGGGTCCACAAACACACACATAAGCAAAACATTGATACATATAAAATAAAAATAAATCTTGAAAAGAAAAACCTTGAGTAATAAATCCCCACGGCCTACCCAATAAGAAAAGAATTGAACTCATTGAAAAAGCTCTATCATAGGCAGCCATTAAGATGGCTCAGCTGCTATGCAAGCCTGATGATGACCCAAGTGTGATCTCCAGATCCCAAAGGTGGAAGGAGAGCACTGAGACTACAAAGTTGTCTTCTGACTTTACACATTTGCCATGGTGTGCATCCCTAGCTACACAGCAGACACACATGTGTACATGCACACACAAACACACAACAGCGTACAAAATATTCTTGTTATCTACCTTTACCTTTATAAAACACCAGGAAATAAAAGGTTCAGATGTACTAACTCCCATTCATCTAAAGCAGAACAGGCTGAAGGACATGTGAGTCAAGGCCCCTCTCTCTATGGGAAATGGGTTTTGTAACAGCTGACAAATCAAATTGGCCTGATGCCAGGAATCAGAGTCCAACCATAATATTCTTTAAAGAATGGTGTGCAACTGTCTTGTAAATCTCCTGAGCAGACTCAGACCAGGAGCTGGCTAGGATGACGACACAGTTCTGATGGAACGCGTCTATCTTAACCGTGAAGTTCCAGATCTGCTCAGGACCAGCAGTGAGAAATGAGAACTGCAACCAGACATGGAGGGGACATAATTCTCTTTTACAGTGCAACCCAGTGGATTAGGGTCAAATGGAACACAAAGCCAATCGGAAAATTTAAGGCTAGAGCCTGGACCAGATAAAGCATCAAGGCTGGTGGTTCAAGCTGAGCCTGGAAGGGAGGAGCATTCTGGTATGAGAAATGAGATCTGGGTGGCAGGATGAGGAGCGATTAAAGCAGAATCCTGATACTATGGCAGAACAAGGGAGAACGAGCCTTATCCTTATGGAAATCTTCGTGGGAAGGGGTGAGAACTCTCAAATTTCTGGAGAGCCTTTTGAAGGGAAACAGCTTTCAGTCATTTCTAGTAAAGGATTATACACCATAGACTGCAGCAACTAGAACCATAGGACCAAAAGAAGAGCTCCAACAGACCTTCCCAGGCAAATTCACATTATAGGTTCCTCAACAAGGGAGGTGGACAGAAGTCAGTCCTGGAAAAACATCAAAGAATTTCATGGTCAAGCAGAGTCACACTGATTCCAAACCATTGACAAGGGATTCTTTTTTTGTTGTTTTGTTTTTCAAAACAAGGTTTCTCAGAGGTCGTCTGCCTCTCCCTACCAAGTGCTGAGAGTAAAGGGGTGCACACCACCGCCTGCTGACAAGGGATTCTTTAACGGATGAAATCTTTAAAAATCATGGTGGTGCTAGCACACACCTTTAAACCCAATACTCAGAGGGCAGAGGGAAATGGATCTCTGTAAGTTTGAGGCCAGTCTGGTCTACAGAACTAGTTCGAGGACAGTGAGGGCAACACAGAGAAACTGTCTCGAAACTGCCCCCATACACACAAACAAAAAAAGTGTGGGGGCCGGGCGGTGGTGGCGCACGCCTTTAATCCCAGCACTCGGGAGGCAGAGGCAAGCGGATCTCTGTGAGTTCGAGACCAGCCTGGTCTACAGAGCTAGTTCCAGGACAAGCTCCAAAACCACAGAGAAACCGTCTCGAAAAAAAAAAAAAAAAGTGTGGGGGAGGGGACATGCAGAAAGAAGAGAAGGAATACAATTCTACTTAAGATTAAGGCAAAAACAAACAAACAAAAAAAACCCAAACACTTAAAATCGGGGCTGGAGAGATGGT